GGGGAAAAGGGCGGCATATAAATACAATAAACTGAACTGAAACTGAATTTCCTTTCTCCTCTACCACCTAAGACCTCTTACATGTGGCTACAAGCATCACCATCTTCAACCATAAGTGGCACTTTCACAGAACTCAAAAGTGTCCTCTCTCTCTCCTTTTTGCCTTATCCTCTGGTCCGTAAATGGGGGAATACTAAAAATGTTCAACTTGTGTATGTTATTGTACTTTTTAGTATTTTTAGCCCTAAAATATTTCAATTTCTTTTTCAATTGAACTGTACAGTTCATGTTATATTATTGGTGGGAAAATTCTGAAGTGTTTTATCTTAGTCTGATTTTTTTTTTACATCTCAAAAACCTGGCATTTTAATAGGTGTGTGTAGACTTTTTATATCCACTGTATATGAAGATTGGTTTCAAGAAGATAACAGGGTGGGGGGAGCAGGTCTTAAATTATATACCTTTTTTGGATTAGTTGAGCCATTACTTATATAACTTTAGCTTGTTAAAGGTATCATGAATAGCATAGCATAGCATAGCATAGCATAGCATAGCATAGCATAGCATAGCATAGCATAGAAATCTTTATTGGCTATGTTTGGACACACAAGGAATTTATCTTTGGTGCATAAGCTCTCAGTGTACATAAAGAAAAGATACATTTGTCATGAATCATAAGGTACAACACTTAATGATAGTCATAGGGTACAAATAAGCAATCAAATCATATTAGGAAATGATCAATATAAATTATAAGGATACAAGCAATGTTACGGTCATACAGTCGTAAGTGGGTGGAGATGGGTGATAGGATCGATGAGAAAATTAATAGTAATAGTAATGCAGACTTAGTAAATAGTTTGACAGTGTTGAGGGAATTATTTATTTAGCAATGATGGCATTTGGAGAAAAACTGTCCTTGTGTCTAGTTGTTCTGGTGTGCAGTGCTCTATAGCCTCGTTTTGAGGGTAGGAGTTGAAACAATTTATGTCCAGGATGTGAGGGGTCAGTGGATATTTTCACAGCCCTCTTTTTGACTCGTGCAATATACAGGTCCTCAATGGAAGGCAGGTTGGTAGTAATTGTTTTTTCTGCAGGGTGAAAGAAGGGTGAAAGAATAGATCTCACTTAGAATTGGTTACTAGTCCTTGGACTATTAAAACACATTAATCAATTGCACTTAAATAAGCCAGTCGGAATGCCACCAAAGTCAAACAATAGATGTCTGTTTAAGATACTGGAAGTAGTGGGCGGGACTATGTTAAGAAATAAGACTATTGTAACATATTTTTTTGGTCAGTTTCTGGTTTCAGGGCATTCAATGTCCTGTTTTTGTCATGGCGACTCTCTCCCCATCAACAATATTGTCTCATGCTGAAAGCAATAACCTTGTGAGTCATAACATTTGTTCAACAAGTAAAAATATTTCAGCGAAATATACATAACTTCTCTGAACAGCTACTCAGAGTGAGGAAGCTTACAGGTAAATTACTAAACTTTGTTTGCTTATTTCATTCCTAAGCTGCAGCACTGGACCAGCCAGCATTCCCAGTGACCCTGGAGGGATCTTGTGTTTCTTATCTTTCACTGAAACTGTGTGGGTTGTGTTTCATGACCATGTCTGTGTCACTATGCAATGCAGCGGGGGAGAAGGGGTGGGGGAGAAAAAGTCTAACCAATCTCCTGACATTTCTTTTCATACCTTCATCTAAGGGAACATTTTGAGTTAATATTGAATAAATTCAACATTCAATAAATTCAATGAAAATAAGTACATATCATAGGGTCTCTGTTGAGGCTGTAACAGGATAGCATCAAACACGAACTCATCTTAAAATGGAATTTATCACTGCAGTAGCTGTCATCAGGTTACTGGCAGACGAAAGCAACACTGCATACTTAGCTGTGAATATTCTATTACAGCAGAAAAACTTAACTGCAAGGATGTAAACTTCATTTTTCCCATTTACAAGGATGGTAGAAAATAAGCGAATTCCCTCAGACTTGATTGTTCATTGAACTGTATAAGATTTGGCCCTTTATCATCTGAAATTATGGACTGATTGCTGCATCTATATAAATATACCTCTGAATTTATCTGTGAGGATTGCGGGTTTTTTGTCAATTTAAAGCGGATCCGGCCTTCAGGGTGCTTAGGTCTGGCCTGCCCTGGAAACAGAAAAAGGATCAGCCTATGGTGCCTCTGTCAGCAAAAATGGGCTCCCGAGCTCCATTTTAGGCTGCAATTGCCTCCTGCAACCCTCTGCCAGCAGAAACAGAGTTGGGGAGCCCATTTTCGCCAGCAGAGCGCTCAGGACACCACAGGCACCCCCAATACAAGTGATGTCTAGCTGGCCATGCTCACCCTGGCCCCCCAAGGTCAAACACAACCCTGATGTGGCTCTCAATGACATTGAGTTTGACACCCCTTATTTAAAGTTTAAAACATCTTAAAGTGTTTTGAGTAGAATTACTAGGTCACAGCATACAGAATAGCTTGTACTTAATAATTATTTTGGACAACAGTTCCCATTAGTCAGATGCATTATGACCAACACCTCTGGAAATGACCAGGTTGATGGAAGGTCTGCAATTTTAGAATTTTAGAAATTCAACTAACAGATATACAGCATTCTGACCTAAACAGATATCTCCAGCCCTACAATTCTGAAGTTACTAATTTGAAGTGCAGTGTAAGAGTGGGTCCTTCAAATCCTGCTGGGCTGTTTCATTATGGTGGTGATATGTTCCTGGAAAGAATGAGCAAAGGATGCTGAGTTTATATAATCCCTACTGGGGTTACCTTAAGCATGAGGGTCACCTGGGCAGGCACCAATATTGGACAAGAATGAAATAAAAAGAACTTTGAGGCAGATGATTACTTTAATGACAATGGCAAAAGCATAATTTCATATTGCATGGGAGACGTCGGTTGTAAACCATTCTGGTATTCTACCAAGAGTAATAAGTAGTTAATATAAAGTAACTGATGATATAATGCTGAATGTATCAGGTCAGAAAGTACTCAACATGCTATTGAGGAATTGCTGATGATTACCAATGATGATTTGAGACATGACTAAAGTGTACAAGATAACTACTGTTGCCTTAACAGAAAATCCAAAGATAGTAAGATAGAGTAGATAGATGGACTGTAATAAGTGAAATGAACCTTAAGTATTAGAAGGTAAAGTTAAATAATCTCTCAGTCATTACGACATGAAAAGGCTACAATAATTGATGGAATATGTCCAGAAATCTATCAAGCAGCAAAATAAAAAATTTGTAAAGGTTCTAACCAAACTCCTAGTGAATCTGGAGAATGATGCAGTAATCAGTCATTTGACAGACATTAATACCAATAAAAAAGATTTAAAAGAATATGCAAACTGTTGCGCAATATCCTTAAATTACAATGCTAGACAAATAATGTTTAGGATCATCTAACACGATTAGAGCCCAACATAGAAAAGGAGATGCTAAATCTTCAAGATTGCTTTACAAAAGCTGAGGAATAAGAAACATTATACTGACATATACTGGATAACTTAAAAAGACAAAGAATGCTAATAAATCAGTATGTGTTTCATTAATTACAGAAAGCTCTTCCACAGTTCAACTGTAAAATGTCTTTAGGAAAATGGGAAATCCCAGGATATCTTGTTGTCATGGAAAACCTATACACAGGTTAAAAAAAAACATATAGATAAAAATATAGTGAAATGAATTGCTATGTCAGCAAAGGAGTGAGAGTAAAGGAACTAGGTTCATTTAGGTTAACAAAGAGTGAAGGGTCAAATGATGCAGTCTGCCAATACTTGAAGGTCTGCCACAGAGAAGCAAGTGTTGATTTATTTCTCACAGCATTTGATGGTAGGATAAAAAGTAATGGATGGAAGCTTGTCAGAGGGAGATCCAACTTGGAAATATAAATTTCCTGATAGAACTATTAAGCAAGGGAAGAATTTGCCTCCCAGACTTGTGGGTCCTCCATTGCTGAAGGTTTTCAGGAAAAGGTTACATAGGGCGTTGGACTACAAGACCTCCAAGATCCCTTTCAGTCCTGTGATTCTATGAGACAAAGCTTTCCCCTTAAGTTATTTAACATATATGATGGATCTATATTGAAGAAAACTGGATTGAAAGATGAGTGTGGTTTTAAAACAGGAAAGAACATCTATGTCCTGCTGGTAAGTCTTCTCTGATAATTGGAAATGTAAATGACTTACAAATTGTAGCATTAAAGTCAAGAAACATGGTGAAAAAATGGGATTAACACTAAAAAGGCCATGCTAATGATAGCAAGAACATAACGGTTGATAGCTTCTGTTTTTAAGAATTATCAACAGGAAAAGAACCAGCAGTCAAGTAGTACGCTACAGACTAGCATTTGATATTCGGTGCTATGATATTTCTGTTGTCTAACAAAGATCGTAATCATGCAGACAATGGTTTTCTCTTGACAATTTATGGAAGGAAAAAGTTGTACTTTTAAGAAGCAAGATGGAAATCATATTGATGATTTTGAACTTTGACATCAGAGAAGACTCATGAAAATACCACGCATAGCCAAGAATACAAACAAATGGCTTATCCAACAAATCAACCCAGTTTTCACTTGAAGCATAAATGTCCTGGCTCGAATTACCACAAGTTTAGCTTTCTTGAGAAGTATGTAAAGCTGGGAAAGGTGGCAGGAAAGAAGAAGAAAAAACCAGGATGACCAGCAGCAAAATGAATGGACTTAATTATAGTAGCAGTGAGTGCACCATTGGAAGACTTGAAGGACTAGGCTGGAAACATATGGATTACTAAGCGACTGCTTGATGACACAGTCTATCAGTAGAAGTTAAGATTAAACATGCATTCTTTGCAATTAGAAATAATAATCAGACAATCCCACATTGTCCAATAATAATTTGCTACTTGGATTAGATTCCTAAATAATCCTAGTTGTTGGCTGACAACATGCTCTTATTTAGATGTGAAGGAGGGAAAAATACTATTTAGCCAACGGTTATTTATTTTCATCTTCTGAGATATCAACAGAAAATACATGTTTATGATAAATTCTTAGAATTTAAAAATTTTAAATATTCAGCATAAGCATCCTTAGATACTATACATATTACAGAATATTTTTATAGAAATAATTTTGTTGAAAGTTGGCACAGAAACATCTCCAAAGGCTTGGTTTTCCCAAATGAAAGCAGACCTGATTAAATGCAAATGGTCCCATGAGAGAGCTTGCAAATAAGATATGATACCGTTTTCTTCAAGTTCTGGTATTTATTTCCCCTTTAGCAGCTGAAAATTTTAATGAGTAGAAAAATATTTGAATAATCTAAAACGGAAAGCCTGATGAATTTGCATAAATAAAAGGGTAAAATAAAATAGCATTTGAATTTATAAATCCACCCTGGCTGCATTAAAATATTTCAGAAGATGTGTCACTCTCCAGTCAAAAGTAATGTTTACTTTTGGTTGCAAATAAGAGCTAAATGCAGATTCCACTGGTGAAATTTCTCAGCACAGTTCCAGTGTTTTTTATAGCTCAACCTTTTTGTTCACATCCATGGAACTGGATTGTTTTCTTGTCATGGTAGCAAACAGTGCATCCATCATTCCCAAAACTTCTAGCAATTCCTCTTGATAATCAATCTCTTTCTCTACAAGATTTTGAAGTTTTAGAAACTGCTTATCAATAACTGAGGATTGTCCAATCACAGGCATATATATATCTGGAAAAGAAAGATACAAGTTAACAGCATTTATGTAGTTCACGAGGATGAGAATTCCCAACTGCCACTTTTCTAGAACAATTTTAAGAAAGATATAAATAAGAAAATAATATGGTAGCCAGAGTCTTTCATTATAGAAATGGATGGAGCAAGTGATGTTTTTTCTATCTGTAATTCCTTGCTTTCTTGCCACTTCACTAACTGAAAATAGCTGACAAACACCAATGTCAATTTGAGAGACAGGGTAACAAAGAGACACAAAATCATCCATGAGCTGCCTTGAGCCACCACCATCCACATCTTGGATCCTAAAAGGTCAAAATGCCCTAAAATTCAGGGGTGTCAAATTCAAGGTTGTGGGTCGTATCTGGCCCACGGATTGCTTAGATCTGAAACCTCCTTATATGCAAGGATTCAATTTCCCATTGAATTATAGCTACCTCTATGCTTATTTGTGGATTGTATTCCTTCATGAGCAACAAAATGCATGCAGTTTTGAAATATCTGGGTAAATGTCAACTTTATTCATGTTATTTGATATATGAACGTACCTATAATGAGTTCTGCAACATTTATCAGTACAGGAGCATATCTTGCATCAGTCACATTTCTGCAAATGTAATTAATAGCCAGATGTTAAACTTCCTATCATACCCATTTTTTTCACTTTTAATGATCTACTGGAGAAAGAAAGGAAACTCGGCTCTTCCTTATCAGGAAAAAATTTCCAAATTACATGGGTAGGAGCTTTTTTTCCACCTGCCCCTGGAACCAACCTCCCTCAAAATTATAGCCTGGGATCAAGATGCTACCCATGAAGGTGGTTTAAGTATTACCATGTTTCCCCTAAAATAAGACCTCCCTGGATAATAAGCCCAATCAGGCTTTTGAGCATATGAGGTAAAATAAGCACTCCCCCGAAAATAAGCCCTCCCTGAAAATATTGCAACACAACAGCAGCCGTGAGATGACCACCTTCGCTGCCTCCTGTACCTCAAAAATAATACGATCTCCCTGAAAATAAGGCTATTTCGGGGGGTTTGGAGAAACAGGGTAATTCTTCATGCAGGATAGTGCTTAGCTGATTTATAATAATTGTTTATATTTAGGGTTAGGGTTTATTGTTATGGTAATTGTTTATTATTACTATTATATCCAAGGCCACTTGGAATTCTGTATTTTAACATGGTTTTAAATCAAACTGTAGTGCGTATTGCATTAAGTTCTTTCACATTCTGATATTTCTCCATCCCCTTTGATGCAATAAAACTCATCCAAACTTTAAAAAAAAGAATGTGAAAACTCCGTCATTCTAAAATTAGGATATCCCATGCCATTTATTCCAATTTGGATTACTATGTAGTTGCCTCTGACAACTAACCTGGCAATTACCTTATTAAGAAAGAAAGGAGGACACTGAGCTGCTTTTCATCCCGCCCAGCAAGTGCATTTTTCAGGGTTCCTCTGCGGTTTAATTCTTGCATGACAGCAACTGTAACTTCAGGCGGATTCTTTTTTGCAGGGCCCTAGAATTAGAAAGTATTCAACCACACATTTTTACAATAAAATGTTCTCAGGCATTTCAACAACTCAAATTATTATTAAATTTATTCTAATACATAAAGAAAAATGAGTTAATTCAGACTGTAACAGTTTACATTTAAAAGCTATTCACAGAGCAGCTTGTTGCAATCTTGTCTAATTGCTGTGCCAAGGACACATCTGTTAAGGGCCTTGATTGCAAGGGGCTGTTCAAGGATTATTAATGAAACTTTTTCCCCCCAAACCAACGTAATTTAATTTACAGTTATTTCTAGATCAAGGTAATTTTATATGTTGCTTTCTCATATGAATGAATTATGTTTTAAAAATGGCTCATTCCATGTTCACATTTAATGATGAAAAACAGGTAACAACTACATATAAAAATCTTTTACTTTCACTTTTCCTTAAAAAAATACTTATATGCTAGCATAAGAACCTGAAGTGGGGAGATTCCAGGTCAGTGGCACAGTATATATGATTTTCACACAAATGGCACTGCACACCAAGGCAATTAGACACAAGAACATTTTTCCCCAAATGTCATCACTCTGCTAAACAAATAATTCTCTCACCACTGTCAAATCAAGGCTGCATTAGTATTACTATTAGTCTTCTCATCATTCCTATCACCCATCTCTTCCCACTTATTACTGCAGGACTGTAACTTTGTTGGTTGTATCCTTACAATTTATATTTATATTGTTTGTTCTTATTTGTAACCTATGACTATCATTAAGTGTTGTATCTTATGATTCTTGATGAATGTATGTTGTCTTTTTATGTACACTGAGAGCATATGCACCAAAGACAAATGTCTTGTGTGTACACCTGGCCAATAAAGAATTCTACTCTACTCTATGGTACTTAATTCAAAATCTGGCTTCTCCATGAAGGAAAGGCACCAATATGAAATCCTACAGAGCACTTGCCAACCTGAGTGGGGAAACCACTTAACTGCCTGGCTCCAACCAAATCTAATCTGGCCCACAGGGACTCCAGTAAGTCTCAGTACTTTCCTCAAACAACTCTGACATTATTGTGTGATTTGCCTTCAAGCACAGCTCTCTTTTAGCTTTGTTCTCAGGAAGAAAACACATGAGGTGAGAACCATGCCCACCTTTCACCACTTTGTCTCCTCCTGCAAACAAAAGCTTTCCGTGCAGTGAAAGATAGAAAAAGATACTCTCTACCAATGGTCGTAATCCATGTGAGAGATGGAAAGCAATGGCCCTCACTTCCTTTCATTGGCAGAAGAGATACTGTCTATAAAGGTCCCTCGGGGGGGGGGGGGGGGGGGGGGGGGGGG